ATGAAAAAACTCAGGGACTTCCCATGGGTCCAGGGCGGCTGCTTGAGCAACCGGTCGCTGCAGGGCCTGCAGCCACCGCGTCAGAGCATCGCAGCAAGTGCAAAGCAGCGCTGACGCGCTCACGCGCTCAACCGAAAAGGTCGTGTTTCCTCTAGGTGGCACACTCCCCTCTCCTAAAATTCAGAGCATCTGACACAGGCCCGCTGCACACACTTGCACGGTGGGGATTGCATTTGACAGCCCTTTTTTGTGGACTTTTGCAATAAAAATGAACGGCACAAGGGCTCTTCCAGCAGGGAATGGAAATGCAGCTGCTGGCTCCCCTGAGGCGGGTGTGAGATAGGGCAGCAGATGGAAGGTGGGACACCCTGTTTGTCATCCCAGACAAAAAAACAAGTAAAAATAATAAAGGTCATCAGGAAGCTAACAGCATGCACGTGAAAAACGCTAGTAGCCTTGAACCCTGTTGTACCTAATGGAAACTATGAAACTATTAAATAAAGTCAGACTTACAAAGTAAAAAAGGAAATTTAAATTTAATAACCGGTTGGAGATCATGAAAAAGCCTAATTCTGCTACCACATTCTCTGCCCTCTCTCCCAGAACTGGAGAGATGATGCACCCATCAGCCCTGTCAGCAGGAGTCACGTGTCCTCTTGGGCTGGAGCTGGCTGCACACTTCCGTGTCTGCTGCACTCACCTACTCTGTCTTTGCAGCCTCCGCAGTCAGGAGCTACCTGTGCCACGGAGAAGATTTCGATTCAGCTTGTAATCTCATAAAAAGTAGTAGCTCATTGCTTTCAGATGTTATACACAGATTAATGGCAAATTCACTACACATCCCATTTCTGCACTACTGCAAGCTGTTGTCTCACAGTCACCATGTTAACCATTTCACCACAGTCCTCTTATCTCTGTGTTTGTAGATCCTGATTCTTATTCTTGGTCCTTGAGTACAGCTGTTAAAAATGTTTCTGAGGAAGTGGAAAAACAGGTAAGCAAACAGCCATAGTGTATTTATTATTAAAGGCCTTTTTATTGCTTGCCTAAAGCAGTGGTCTTCTTGGCTGTCACCTGTAAGCAGCAATACAGATTTAATTAATAGCTTGTAAAGCTTGAATGTCCACAGGTCATGAAATCAACATATGTGTCGCATAGACACATATATAATCAGAAAGTGTAAAATATAAAGCTAAGATGATAAGGAGCAATTCTCTGGGTGTTCCAAGGCTGTTCAGTTTCGAAGTGCTGTTGATCATTTTAAGATCTTCTAAATTTTGTTTTCAAAAACCATATAAAACTTTCCTGATCAGAAACGCTCTCCATTCAACTGAACAGCCAGAAAAACTATGTCCAGCACAACATGTGGAGGAGATCATATGCCTCAAAAATGCCACTGGCCAGCAGAGCCTCTCCAGCTGGCCCAGCCGGCACCCCCACTCCCCCTGCCTGCAGGCAGACCCCTGGGTTTTCTGCCTCCTGTTCAGTAGAGACGCCGCTTCAGAGCTGAAGCACAGTGGCAATTGCAAAACTGATGAGAGAAGAATGGACAAGCAGACTTAGGCTGTGGCACTAAATGATGTGCCTCTGCAAACGGGACTGTCCTGCCAGCTGCAGAGACACTGTTGCTCAGCAGCGAGCAGTCAGCCTGGGGCCTGTACCTCAGGTTACAAAATTTTGCTCAGGGAACAATGGAAAAAAGGCTCCTGAGCTGTAAAATGCTAGACTTTGAAGGGATCAGGGTATGTAGAGTATGATCAGAAAGATGTGCTGAAGTAGTACATGCTGAGGATCAGTATGAGACTACACATAATCTGGAGGATGCACTGGACAAAACAGCAATCAGTAACTGAAAGAAAAAACAGCAAGCTTAGCAATTTGCAGTTGCAAATAATAAAGTTGCAAACAATTTTTTATAGAATTAGGTATTTTCAATCACATTCCACTCCTATATAAAACCTTGAAGAAGATATGCAAAATTTTATAGACATCTGCAAAACAGTTAGAGCTACCTGAGTCTACAGGAATGCTGCTTAATATGTACGTCTGCTACTATATGTAAGCTCTGTGCCATTCCAAGAGCAGAAGAAAGTGAAACACCTGTGTTTCCTAGGCAATAGCCTCTTTTGTGAATATGTAACTTGAAAGCAAACACGTTCCTCAATATGTTTGATAGCAGCCATCATATGCTGCCCCCAAAAAAACAAGACAGCATGTGATAACTCGTTGTAGCACAGGGCACTGCAGCATCAGCAGGCCCAACGAGAGCAGCTGATTAGTCATATCTGACCTCCACGTGAGGCAGCCGTCCCCAGCCGCTGCTGAGCTCCTGGAGGATGGGCCTCCACCACTGCAGGGCAGCAATAAGGGACTCAGAAGCTGTGCCTTGCCCTGAAACAGGATGCCACCAATTGGTTGTTCAGCAACACAGATCACTCTGAACATCTTTTGTTCACAGATGTGATCCATGTGGATTGCCAAACCTCTAATTTCTCCTCACTTTGAGCACAGTCTGTGGCCTGGAGCCAGGAAAAACAGCTTTACTGGGATGAGTTTAACAATAGATAGCCACACTATAAAGTGATTGCTAACTAAAGCTAAATGGAAATATGTAGAAGCATATTGTAATTCAGCAGGGTGAGAACTGAGGCTCGGCAAGTAACTGTTTTTTAGAAGAGTGTCTTCAGATTGCAATGATCTCAGTAAGGAATCCACTTCACATATCGCCCAGTAGACAGGATCTTCAACATCACAGTGCCTCTTCCACAGTTAGAAGACTATACTGGTTGATAGAGATGATTTAACCCGTATTTCTGAACAGGCTTGCTCTTCTGAATAGTCTTACCAACCACTGTCTTTGAAGGAAACATTGGATATGTGTGAAGTTTATAACAAGTATGATAGAAGTTTAGCATGCTTTACTATTCAAATGAAAAGGCCATCTGCCAAAATTTTAAGGACAGAAAAGTTAGCAGTTTATGTGCTCTAACAAGACCAGGATAAATTACAAACAGCAGAGATCTCCTCAGGCAGAAACAGTTTCATTCTAAACCATCTCTTAACATGCTCTCTTTATCCCTCAAGACCATCTCAGCTATATGTGCACTGCAAAATATTTTGTACTGCTGGATGAGATCATATTTGTATTATTTAAAATACAAGAGTGGCAGCATTGCCAAATTACAAATCTGAAGTTATGTTAAAACATCTAGTGTCAACACATCCTGATTTTTCCAAGCTGTTCTTAAAATATTTGACATACGTATTGTTTTTTAACATACTTGTTAAGAAAGAAAGAGCAAATTTAGTCCATATTCAAAAGGTTATTGCAAGACGAACAGAAACTAAAACTTCTCACTATGCTTTCTTCTCTCCTATCTCATCCTTTCTACAGCATGGAAACCTCTGCTTTGGCCTGCCTAGCCTTCGGTTTTGACCAAAGACTCAGATGTCTGCTAAACCTCCACAGCTGTGTTTCTGCCTTCTAGCCTCTGCAAAGAGGCTTTGAATGACAAACAGCAAAAGCCGAAGTCAGTGGGAAGACTTTTTTTTGATGTTTGTAAGACACAATGGAAAGCTACTTTCCAACAAAAGAAAATGTAGACTAGCTTTTCAGAACATCAATCTCTCATTTTGGAAGACTGTATGAAGCTTGGAGAACGAAGAAAATTGTGACATACCAAGAGGCAAGGAACTAAAAGTTCAGTATTTGTAAAGGAACTACCTGAGCAATTAAAAATCTTATTCTGGTTTTCAGTTAAACACCCACTTAGTTCCAGCACTTAGTGAATATTTTGGAGAAAGGATGCTGTGATTAAGGTTAAACTATTGCTCCACAGCTGTGATCAGTTTTTGACTACTCTGGTGTTGCCAGTTGGGGGAGTGATATTATCCTATTTCCTTCTTTTAATAGCCCCAGTTTCTGGACTTATAGAATTAGGTATAAAAAAACAAACAAATAAACAAAAAAGCTGAGCTTTCTACAATGTATTTTAAAATCTGAACCCAGGAACTGATATAAATAACAGACAAACTAAAAATCACCAAAATGTTTACCCTTTAAGATGTGATAATGCAAAGCATGTTTTATAAACGCTCACAGCTTAGGCTTGACAATAACCTGGACTAAAATTTTACAGCTCTTTGCATTCTCAATAGTCTGTCAGCCAACTTGGGAAGATCAAGTTTGATATTCCTACTGATTAATTTTCTAGATGATCTACAAAGGCAAGTGGCCTAGAGGGAAAGAAAACTCTTGGGTGCTTTTCTTGTTATTATAAATCCATGAACTTTACAGAAGCAGGACAAAACTAATTTAATATAAATTCTTTGCAGGTCAGCTTTAAAAAAATGTTTTAGCCTCCTCCCCATGCTTCTTATTCAAGGTAGGGCATGTGCAAGCTTCTCTCTCCCCTCAGCCACCAGGTGAAAAATCCAGAAACACTCACTACACTCTCAGCTACCAAAACTGTCTCTGCAATCAGCTGACAAGATGTCTGGAAAAAAAAAAATGAGGAAAATAATTGGTCCTTGGTGTCCATGGGCTCAGAGAAGATAAAATTTCATATTCAAACATTTCTATATGTTGAAATAAAGTGCTAAAGTGCAGCCCTTTGGAATAATTCACATTCACATGAGCGTGAGTTGACTATATCTAGGAAATATTTTCCTTCTTTGCCAGTAGAAATACAAATACCTAGGTGTAGTGATATAGCTATTGATAATAATAACTACTACAAGATTAAACTGAACCTTCAGATCCCCAACATGTCTTTACATGCAGCTAAACGCTAGTAGACATCAGCAGCTCTTAGCAACTGAACTCAGCTACAGGACACTTTGTTAAAAGCACCATGTGACTGATTCCCCAAGTCAATCTGATATATACACTAAAACTTAAGCAGAAGAGTTAACAGTATAAATCTATGTACGCATCTTGAGGACTGGATTAAGTGCTCAGTGTAAATGTCTTCACTAGTTTATGTAATGCAACGACATACCCGTTGATTGTGGAAGATGCATGACGTGTGCATGTTTGAAGCACTGTTTTAGTCTCGATTTCCATGTTACCTAGCTCTCTCCCGGCTTTAGGCACTCAGAAGATGACAGTGCCCTGCAACTGCAGAATGCAAAGCCTGTCAACAAGGCACACAGTAGCATTTAGCATTTGACTTTATACATTGCAAGCACAACACACGTCCTTCCCTCCCACAGACCCAGGAGCACAATCCTTACACATATAACAAAATGAGTCACAGAGACGGAGTAACTTGCTTAGGGCCATACCATAGTTACATGGTGAGAAGCTGAGCATTACTGCTGAGTCTCCAAATCATTCTGCTGCATGGACACCACAAAAACAAGCTGATTGTGTGTTAGACTTTCTTAACTGGAGAATGAGTCCTGCGTCCTGCATTGCTGTCTTCCTCAGCAGTCAGCTAAACTTTTGGGTTTGAAGGCATATAGAAACAAATCAAAACCATAGATGCAGACAGCACATTTCCTGATGCTGTGGTTCATCAGCATTTCCATCCTACACATCACAGGAAAAAGAAAGATAATCTCATTGAGCCATCTGTAGGTCAGGAAATTGTTTCTTGTGGAACAAAACTAAATGCTTTGTAGGAAAAACAGAAATAGCTTACTAGGAGACAGTGCACTAGCTATAGTACCACAACCAGCATCTCCATGTGCTTATGCCTCTCTGATACATGAAAGTCATTGATTTGCTTGCTATCTGAGTGCTCCCTGTACCACCAATTGAGCTATTCTGGGGAAATAGTTAGTTACAGAGCCCTGAGAAAGCAAATGCTATATCCAGCATGGTAACCAAACACAAGAACACGTTTTAAGGTCTCCTTCACTGAACTTGTGATGTTTACACATTCAATATGAATAACTGCACACATAGACAGCACATCACAAACACAGCTAGGCAGATAGCCATAAAATAGTTAGAAGTGTGTCTATGCAGTGTTTGAAGTGCTCATGGTCACCTTGTTTGAAAGAATGGATAAAGAGCAACTGCAAAAAAGAGAAGAGCCACTTCCATGACAGTGTCAATACTATTAAAAAGAGATAAAATAAAGTTTGAGTTAGTGTTTATACTGCCACCTGAAAGAAATCCAAATCCTATACGTGCATCCTTTCTGATCTTTAACTGGCTGTTTCCCTATCTATTTTGATCCATGACAAGGAATGTTAAATCACTGGTGCTGGCTATCTTTCTACTCTTGCCCAGCAATATCCCTGAATCTCAGTGGTACGTTCCGATCAGTCAGGAAGTGTGCAAGTGTCAGCAGCAACCACAGCTCTCAGGCCTCAATCTGGTTCCCTTCCTCTTTTCCAGTGAAAGAAATCCAACTAAGGAAAGAACGGGACACCTCACTGCAAACATATCTCCCCAAAGGGCGCAGATTGGAAGAAGATAAATCTGTGACAAGCCTGATAACTAGCCTAGTGCTTTGGCAGCTCAAGCAGAAGAAATTAAGGAAGAGAAAGTCAGATTCTTCCTTGCTAGGGCGAAGTCTCTCTGCTATCAGCAGATATTACCTGAGAGGAGTACTGAATGCTATTTAAAGGTAAGCAGACTCCCCTAGCTGACCTATCACCGCTGCTGGTGGCAGTCAGTAGGAGAAGTGACCTGGGAGCTGCTGATGTTCTGACACTGCCACTCTTGCAGGCACATGAACACCTAAGAATCCCAGCTTGAGGATTTTAAAGCTATTTTCTTCATTTGTTGGTGTTTGTTTGTTTTGTTTTGCTTTGATTCAAAACCTTACTATTGTACCCCCAAATATTCCTGCTATCCAATGTTATTCCACTCTTCTCAGGAAATAGCTCTGGTATTCTCCAACAGGAGTCAATGATGTTTATTCTCCACAGCGAAAGCAGTAACATAACTGACAATTGTAATTTTTATTAGCACCAACCCTCACATTATTAGAACATGATATATTAAGCTTATCCTGCAGGACAGTACCACTTTTTCAGGTTTTTCAAAATCCACATCTCTTGAATCTAGATTTAATTTTATTATGGCACCGAGTTGCTTGTAAAATAATGTTTTTGAGAAACTTCAATTTCTCTTCAGTCAGAACAGTGAAAACTGTGAAAATTTGCTGTGAGTAACTTTTTCCTTTGCGGTAAGCTGCTTTGGAGTACTATTGACCTGATTGCACATTATGCATACTAATAATTATCTTCCTGGATCTCTCAACAATTTTTCCATTTGACTGTAGAAATCGATATTATTGTAGTCCTTGTAAGGTACGTCTGATTGCCACAGGATTTGTATTTAATTGGCATTTTGTCAGTATTTTTATGCATATTTATTAAGCCTGCAGTACTCATCTGTAATAGAGTTATGAAAGACATGATGCATTCCTAAATTATCATTTTAAGGTCATTATTGCACAACTTATCCTTGCACAATTAACTTCGGAACCGGAATAAATCACTTTGAACTGTATGAAAGCCTTAAAAGCTATCACTGGTTGGACAGTGAAATTGTCCTTCAACCAGTAACAAGCGTATTCAGAAAGAAGATAGTGTGTGTGACTTCAGCTCTAAAGCCAAGCAGTTTTAAGGTGAAATACCATATTTTCTGTCATTGGCATGTTTTTGCTTTTTGTCCTGGATAATAAGCATTTGTGAATTTGCTTGGGCATCTTTTTCAAGTGTTTTAGCCTGTAGGGTTTTTTTTTTTTCCTAAAATTGTGGGGTGGGTGGGTTTTTTTGACCTTCTGAAAAAAAACAGGAATCAACACTTACTCTGTCATTTACTTACGCTTGAACAAAGTTGCTTCTTGAGGTTTATATGAAATACTGGCCTCTTTTGAAAGCAATGCAAAAGAAGATTTTGGTTTTAATTATCTTATTTACCTCACAGCCTTGGAGTGACAAGTGACTTAAACAAAATGAATAGAAAGCTTATCTGCTTTAGACGTCATGTTCATGCTCTTTGTTAATGAAAAAAATGTGTCCTGCTTAAAATATTTATACAGTTCCAGTAAACATGGGCTGATTCTCATTACCTTATGAATAGACTGGCAACAACAAAGACCCTTCAAAATTCTTTTCCCATTGCTAGCGCATGGCTTTCCTGTAACTGAGAATCAGGCTCTGAATACTGCATCTACTGAATTGATTCTGTCATGTTGCTATTCACTCCAGCTGTTGCTAAAACTAATTTCTAGTCTTTTAAGACTTAACTATACCTTTAACTAATGAAGGTTTTCCACTGTGCAGTGGTCTATATACCAGGGTGTACAGATTCAACTTTTCTTTTTGTTTTCTTTTTAACTCTACAGCTCTGAAATATCATTATTTTCCCATTTCTACGCCAGCCAGCACTTCAATAGCAAAATCACTATTAAAGAAGGAGGAAGGAGAAACCAAAACATTAAGAAACCACTGAATTATATATAAATGCTCAATTATTCAGCCAGAAGCAACTAGTTACATCATGAAGCACTTTATCACGAATGGAACTCTACTCATTTCCATACATCTGCGTACAAAAAAAACCTGGTCAGTGTGAGTGAAGGAGCAGAATTTGGCACTAGCTTAACGAAATTATAGGAACGTGCCAAGCACTGCAAATAAAACCAGAAACAAATGTAACACTTTACACAGACCAAGTAGCATTATTCTGTTTGTTGCTAGTGGAAATTGTCTGCATCATCCATTACTAAACAGAGAGCTTTCTTAATAGCATGACTATGCCTTGCTAAAGTATGAGGCCAAGAAAATTTTTTTTGTAAGATGTAGATAAACAACTGGGCATCGTGAATGGTAAATGACTGAAAAACAGAACATGTATATGGAGTAGAACTGGCATCACAAATTTCCCAAGAGAATGAACTTAGAGAGCCAATGTATCCTAAGACACATGGAAATCCAAGGTGATGAAACAGGTCACTTTCATGACTTGTCACAGTAACAGAAGCAAGGGCACTTTCATCTGCCTCCTATTTCCTCTGAATATTTGTACAGTACCAAGCACAGTGAGACCTAAGAAATCTTGAATTGCCTTTTTAACACAAACCCTCCACTTATTCGTAAATACAGCAAGACTTCAAAATAAACGTGAGCTTTGCAACACAAACACTCCATTTTCATGTTATTATAGCGAGCTTACAAGCAATAAAAAATTGCCCAGCAGTGCACCTTATCAGCACAGTGATTCTGTTGGTCCAGCAAGGTTGTCAGCTCCTCCATGTTTTTCTTCCAGAGAACTTTGATCAAAAAGGCAATAGTTAATATACTGAGGCTTGGGGACTGTGAAAATGAAGACCTCCAGTCCAAATCAGAGCTTTGTCTTCTGAAATGCTTGCGAATGAGTTTTCGTTTCACCAGACTTGTTGCAAGCTGACACGGTAGGAAGCATGGTGGCAGGAGGGAGCGGCTTTTTTCTGCGGTCCCACAGGGTCGGGCGCAGGAGCGAGGTCCGCAGCGGCGGAAACGCGGCCGCTCTGCCT